TTTTATTCTATTACTGTTGTATACTACATTAATTGATTTTCAAATGGTAAACCAACCTTTCACTGCTGGATTAATCCCACTTGATCATAGTATACAGTCATTTTTATATGTTGCTGGATTTGGTCTGCTAGCATTTTGTTGAGACTGTGGTCCATATTCATAAGAGATATTACTCTGTACTTTTTTTGTTATATCTTTATCTGATTTTGGATTAGGATAATATTGGCCTCACAGAATGGGTTTAAAAGTATTCCTGCTCTTCTATTTTTTTGGAAGAGTTTGTAAAGAATTGGTTAATTCTTATACTGTTTGGTAAAAAGCTCCAGTGAAGCCATTTCAGCCTAGGGTTTTCTTTGTCAGTAATTTCTTATTAGTAAATTAATCCCTATTCTTGTTAAATCTACTCAGATTATTTATTTCTTCTTGAGTTTCAGTAGTGTATTTCTAGAAATATGTCCATTTCATCAAAGTTGTCCAATTCACTGGCATACAGCTGTTCACAGTGTTCCTTTAAAACCCTTTATAAGATCAATAGAAATGTCCTTTTTCATTTCTAATTCCAGTAATTTCCTTTTTCTTGGACAATCTAGCTAAAAGTTTGTTAATTTTGTTAATCATTTCAAAGTACCAGTTTGGGGGTTTATTGATTTTTCCTATTCTATTTTGTATTTCATTTTCATTTCTGCTCCAATCTTTATTATTTCCTTCCTCCTCCTCATTTTAGGTTTAATTTGCTTTTCTTTTTCCCAGTATCTTTAGGTAGATGGTTAAAGTATTCATTTGAGACTTCCTTTTAAGAAATATAGGTATTGATACCTATAAAATTTCCTCTAAGTACTTTAGCAGCATCTCAGATTTTCTTATATTGTAATATATATATCTTCACTCGTCTAGAAGTATAAATTCCCCTTTTGATTTCTTCTTTGATCCATTCATTATTTAGGAGTATATTGTTTAATTTCCATATACTTCTGAGTTTCCAAAATTCTTTTCTGCTATTAGTTTCTAATTTCATTCCATTGTAGTTATAGAATTTACTTTGTATTATCGTTAGTCTGTTAAATTTATGAATTTTTTTAATTGGCTTATCATAAAGTCTATCTCAGATGAGAATGTTCCATGTGCAATTAAGGATGCATTTTCTACGGGTGCTTGGGTGACTCAATTGGTTAAGCACCTGACTCTTAATTTCAGCTCAGGTCATGATTTCACGGTTTGAGATTGAGCCCTGCACTGGGCTCTGTGCTGACAGTGCAGAGCCTGTTTGGAATTCACTCTCTCCATCTCTCTCTGCCTCTCTCCCACATGTTCTTTCTCTCTCTCTCTCAAAAATAAACATATAAAAAATATATTTTCTAATGTTGAATGGAGTGTTCTGTAGTTGTTAGACCCAGTTGGTTTATGGCATTGTTCAAATCTTCTATTTCCTTATCTTCTGCCTAGTTCCATCCGTTATTGAAAGTTGGGTATTAAGTCTTCAACTATTACTGTATAACTGCCTATTTCTCCCTTCATCTCTGGCAGGTTTTGCTCCACATATTTGGGAACTCTGTTGTTAAAGACACATTACGTTTATAATTGTTATACCATGATCATTCATCATTATAAAATGTCTTTCTGTATCTCCAGTAGCAATTTTTGACTTAAAGTCCATTTTGTCTAATATCAAAATGCCACTCCATCTCTCTTTTGGTTGCTATTTGCATTATATATCTTTTTTATTCCTTTTACTTTCAATCTCTATCTTTTATCTCTATCTTCTAATCTACTTTTATAATATCTAACTTTTGATTGGAATGTTTCATCCAGTCACACTTTCAAATTCAACATTAGTTATTGTTGACATAGAAGATATACATCTGCAAAAAAAAAAAAAAGATATACATCTGCCATTTTACTTACTTCTATATGTCACATACCCTTTTATGTTCTATTTCTCCTTTACTGCTATTGTTACATTGCGTACATTTTAGACTGTATTACTTTAATTTCGTTAATGATTTTCAGTATTTGAGTGATTTGCTTAGTGGCAACTCTAGTACTTATCATACACATCTTATCAGAAATAGCTTCATATTTATACTAACTTAATTTCAAAGAGCTATAGAATTTCTATAGCAATGAGCTATAGAAACATAAGAAAGGGGATAGCTCTATCCCCTTTCTTCCCTTTTTGTGGTATTGTGAAATATATATTATAAACATTACAAACCCCAAAATACATTGTTACAGCTATTACTTTACATAATTTTAGGTCTTTCAAAGAAGCTAAGAGAAGAAAGGACAGCAATTATATTTTTATAAGTTTTATTAATATAAACTATTATCACTTATGGCTTTATTCATTTGTTCCTGTGGATTCCAATTACCAACTGGAGTCATTAGCCTAATGCAGCTTTGCTCCCATTCACCTCCTCTGTGCTGTTATGAAAAATATATTTTTATATGTTACAGGCTCAATAATATATAGTTTTAAGCGACTGCTTTTTACATCAGTCAACAAAAGAGAAAAGAAAAATAACTGTCTTTTATAATTACCTCTACTACTGCTTGATTTTGGGGGGGGGTGGATTCAAATTATTATCTAGATCACCTCCTTTCAGCCTGAAGAACTTCCTTTAGTATGTCTTGTGAGTATGCCAGCAAAAAATTCTCCCAGCTTCTGCTTATTGGCAAATGTCTTTATTTCACCTTATTTTTGAAAGATAGCTTTGCTGGCTAGGGTGCCTGGGTGCCTCAGTCAGTTGAGCATCCAACTCTTGACCTCAGCTCAGGTCATGATTTCACAGTTCGTGAGATTGAGCCCCGTGTCCAGTTCTGTGCTAACAGTATGCAGCTTTCTTGGGATTCTCTCTCGCCCTCTCTCTCTGCCCCTCCCTTGTTCATACATGTGCACTCTCTCTCAAAAACAATAAACAAACAACAACAAAAAGATAGCTTTGCTATGTATAGGATTCTTGATTGATAGGGTTTTTTTTTCCCCCTTTGAGCGTTTTGAATGTTTGTCCCATGACTTTTTGATCTCCACTGTTTCTGTTGAGAGGTCAGCCATCAATCTCATTGGGGTTCCTTATAAGTGACAAGTTGTTTTTCTCTTGCTGCTTTCAAGATTGTCTCACTGTCTTGGTCTTTCAGCATTTTTTTTTTTTTTTTTTTTTTGAGACAGAGAGAGAGAGAAAGTGAGGGAGGGTGAGAGGATTAGTAGAGTAGAGGGAGGGGGGGGGGGAGAGGGGGAGAGAGAGAGAGAGAGAGAGAGAGAGAGAGAGAGAGAATCTAAGTACGCTCCGGGCTGAGCATGGAGGTGGGCTCAATCTCACAACCATGAGATCATGACCCAAGCTGAAATCAAGAATCAGACGCTTAACCAACTGAGCCACCCAGGTGTTCCAGTCTTTCAGCATTTTTAATATGATTCATCAATTTGTGGATTTCTTGCAAGGTTATCTGGAACTCATTGAACTTCCTGGAGGAGCATGTTTTTGAGTAAATGTGGAAACTTTTTAACCACTATTTCTTCAAATACCGTTTCTGCTCCTTTATTTCTCTCCTCTCCTCTGGTTCTCCCATCATGCATATGTTGGTATGCTTAAGTGCCCCACATTTTCCTGAGATTCATTTTCCTTCATTCTTTTTTCTCTGTTCTTTAGATTACATAATCTCTATTGATTTATCTTCAAGTCTACTAATTCTTTCTTCTGCCAGTTCAAATCTACTGTTGAACCCCACTTGTAAAGTTTTTACTTCAGGAGTATTGTTCATTTCCAGAAATTCCTCCTGGTTCTGTTTCTTTAAAATTTTTATCTCTTTATTGATATTATCTACTTGATACATTGTTATACCTTCCTTACTTCTTTAATCATAATTTCCTTTAGTTCTTTGTACACAGTTATAATGCCTACTTCAAAGTCTTTGTTAAATCTGATATCTGATCACTCTCACAGGCAGTTTCTATTGCCTGTTTCTCCCCGCAGTATATGGATTATACTTTCCTCTTCCTCTGCAGGTCTTGTAAATTTTTGTTGGAAATTGGACATTTTAGAAAACATTGTAACAACTCTGGATACTGATCTACCTCCTCTCTCCTGGGGCTTGTTACTGGTATTGACCTGTTTTCTTATGTTTTCTGATTGGATTTTAGTGAAATGTGCATCCCCATTTCTCCCATAATTTGTATTAATCAGCCCAAGAAATGTTGTGTTCATTCTTGAATGCCACATTTGAAGAATATTAACAAACTAAAGCACATGCAGAGGAAGCTTCCAGGATGGGGAGGTTTTACAAAGTCACAGGCCAAAAGGCTAAGGGAAACTGATTATATATGAAGTTCATCTTACGAATAGGATAGAAAGGAGACAGAGTTGCTGATTTCAAAGTTCTTAAGTGCTATTTCAGTATAGCTGAAGAGCAGGGAGAAGTCCGAGAACTTAGACAAACAGGTTGATATTACAGGGAACAGATTTTAGCTCAAAATATAATGAAGAATTTTTTAAACAAGCAATTCAACAATGGCGCATGCTACCTTATACAATAACGAGGTTTCCATTTTCAAGCACAAATTTTCAATCTGTCACAACCGTTGAGGATGGTATTGCTTGTTTGGGAGGGGAGGTTTGAGTAGATGATCCCATTTTCTTTGACAGTCAAGAAACCTGGCCTTGAATGTACTCATCTTGACATAATGCAAAGCATTTTACATGTATATAAACATATTACAATTATTCATCTCTAAAAAATTATATAATAAAGTATTTTAAAAACAATTAAGAAAAATTCTTAAATATTTCTCTAAGCAAAGAGTTCCTCTGAGATCGCTATTTTAAAGTATTTTCCTGATTAGTCACATATCTGGTGGATTACTGGGAAAAAGAATTACTTTAAATTTCTATATACTATCATATACTTGCTCTAAAATATTAGGATAAAGTAATTCATTTTCAAGAGTTATTCAGTTTTTACTAAAGTTTGCTTTTTTAATGAAATAATTGAGATCCATAACTCACCAGAAGAAATCTTACCAGCACCTTTATAGTCAACAGAAAATGCAGATGTGACTCCATTGGCCGACCCCAGTTCACACATGGAAATTTGATAAGGGGGCCTCAGCTTGATTTCCATCTGCATGTCAGACAGATTTATCTTTGTTGAAAGAGACCTGGGATTATTATATCGCTGCTTGGTCCTCTGAATGAAGTTATCTATGTAAAATAAAAAATAAATTTCCTTGCAGTCATTTGTTTATTAAATAAAGTGTGTGAGAGAGTGTGATGTTTATGGAGTAAATTCTGCAGATAAACAGTTTAGTTTGTTATCCAAAACTATTCGGTTTGTCATGGAATAATCTAATATTATTTGTGTTTAATGGTTAATATATCATGGGGTCATCTGTTTTTCACTCTAGAAATTATACTCTAGAAATTAATAATTATAAATAGAATAAGGATTTAAAATAATGTCCGTGAGACCATTTCCACTATTATATCTACTTTAAGGAATTATTTTAAATTTTTACAAAAAACAAAAAACAAAAACAGCTTTTATTTTAAATCAGTCTTAATTTCTATAGGGATCTGTAGCTCATAAAATATTAAGTTTATCAATATTTACCAACTGTAATTACATAAGAACATACACTGTAAATTGCATGTTCTTACAAACCTGTTTTCTTATTTACTGCTTACACCATTACAATGTATATTTTGAAGAATAAATTTAATTAAAAGACATTTTCTAAATATATTCCAATTTCACTTTCATATTTACAAGCTGGTTTTACTTCTTTTCCTCCTACACCAGGAGTCAAGTAAACTAATGCCCATAGGCCAAATCAAATCTGCTGTTTATGTAAATAAAGTTTTACTGGAATATAACTATACTCATTCATTTAAGCATTGCCTATGGCTGCTTTCAAGCTACAATGGCAGGGCTGAGTAGTTGTGACAGAGAACATATGGTCTTTAAAGCTTAAAATATGTACTATCTAGTACTTTCCAGCAAATGTTTGCCAAACTCCAGTCTACATTAAGCAGGCTATAAAAGATTATCACAGAAACACAGAACTCTGAATCTCTGGCTTATAAATTTCTCATTGAGAAACTGTCCTCTGGGGTTAATTCTATGTGTCAATAATCACAATCCCCTTCACAACTGAAACACACTTTTTTCTACTAGGCACCTAAATGAAGAAGCTGCCATAATTTACAGGGAACATCTGTCAAATTATTCTGTCAAAAACAAGGTAGCAGAATTTTCTGAGTTTTTCCCCTGGACCCCAGCATTATATGAAAAATAGCTTATGATTGGATGGAGACAGGATAATGAAAAGGAAAAAAAATCAGGCCCTTACCAAATTCAATGAAACAGTATGGTCTGACAGCAGTATTGGTCTTCATCATGTTATAAGTAGTAATGAACTCCTTCTGAAGCTCATCCAGGAAAGAGAAGGCCAGAACATTTGGGTAATTTTCAGTGCACAACATCATGTAGCTCACTCCCAGAGAGCTAATAAAACTACAGTGTAAAAAACATTGGTTTTAAAATCTCAAATGAAATCAAAGTAATTCGTTGCTTCAAAAGACTGGTTTATACACCATAAACTGCTGCTACAGTGGCAATGAAGATATTAACATTTATTATATATTCTAGCAAAAAAAAAACCCAAAATATAATACTACTTTCAGTTACAGTTAAAAACAGTAGACAAAAAAAATGAAATGTAAGTACAGATGGACACACACTATAATTCTAACACTTCAGTTATGTAACATTGGGGGTAGAAAGCAGGGGAAAGAATATACAAATATGTAAGGGTTACAGACAGCTCAAGGTTTAACTATTCAACCTAGTGGAACTTAATACTGTTCAAATCAAGAACTCTAGAGATTCTGATGAAAGTTATGGGCACTCTTCCCAGATGTGCAAACAACACAAAACTTGGCACACAATTTCTGGGTGGTCACTGAGCTTCCGAAGTCATCCACTGACTCCACAATCAAATGCTCTACTTCACATAATAATGAATTATGAACCATGGGTGAAATAAGAGTAATTTATGAGTTTATAACAACAACAAATAAAATAAATAGGGTAGAAAGGAGAACTCTTGCTTACAGCAGAATGCTGAGCACCAACACAGTAGACCAAGCAAGGACAATCAATGAACGCTGAATCTAGAGGGAGACTTTGGTGAGGAGTAGGAAATTTTGCAAGGCTTTAAAATGTCTTCCCATTGATTGCTTATTTGCTGCAAGGGGAAAATATTTATTATACAGCAGAAACTAGACAACATCTTGACTGAGTATTCCAACATTACTAATGACAGGCAGATGGACTTCCTGTGCCTTCAGGTGTGATATCCTCAGAAAGACATATCAGCTATGTAGTATTAAATATGTATATGTAGTTTATGTATATGTAATATACATATGTAGTATGTTGTATTCTAGCCAATATATATACGTAGTATGTCGTATTCTAGCCAAGAACGCATAATCTGAATCTAATCATGAAAGAACATCAGAATTCTATTTAAAAAGGAGGGATAAAGTCTTTAAAAATCTCATATTGTACAAAAGAAATAAAGGCTATATAAATGTTTCTGATCAAAAGCTACAAAGACACAACTACATGCAATACCTAATCCTAATCTAGATTCTGTGCCAGGGCAGGAGTGGGTGGGTCGGGGGGAGAGTGCTATAAAGGACACGCTGGGTCAAAGGACAAAAATGGAAAACAGGCAGTGAAGTGTGGTCTCAATATTACTAGAGCTGATAACTGTACCATAGTTAAGTAGCAGAATATCCCTAATCTTAGAAAACACACTTAGGAGAAGCTAGGAATAAAGGGACATGGTATTTTAAGCCTATTTCAAATGATTTAGACAAAAATAAGATAAATAGGTAGGCAAATAAAAACAAAGTAAATGGGGTAAAATGTTAACAAAAGATAAATCTGCAAACAGGTATTATTTGTATTATTCTTTGTTATACAACTTTTCTGTTAGTTTGAAATTGTTTCTAAGAAAGTTAAAAAAATTTTTAAACTTTAAGCACTGAAATTTCAAATTAGCCATGTTCTACTGAAAACAAAAATTTCTAAACTGTATCACCACCTACAATAAAGCAGAAAATGGGACACGAATTAACCTTTCTTAGTGAGTCACTTAAACATTCTTTAAGAGTACTGTCCAATGTAACTCATCTAGATCAGGGGCAGCAAACAGAGCATAAAGGCTGTACCTCCCTCCCACACCTGTGAAAGACAATCTATCACAGTAATCTTACTGCCAAACCCTGATCCATATGGGAGTCCTCCTACCCTCTTTTTTCTCTAATAATGTAGAAGCAGAATTTATTTTAAATTAATATTTATAGAATAAAAATATTTAAGTGACTCAAATTTTTAAAAACTGAGAAATGAAATACAGTACCTAGAGTGTCTTATCTCCACCTGAAGATACCCAGTTCTCTATCCCTCAAGCAATTCATGTTATTTTTTTTAAGATTATTTTTTTAAGTAATCTCCACACCCAACCAACATGGAACATAAACATGCATTCCAAAGATCAAGAGAGCCACATGTTCCACCAACCACGCCAGCCAAGTGGCGCCCCAAATCATATTATTATTAAATTCTTAAGTATCCTTCAGTGAGAGTTCCAGCATATATAGTTTCCTCCCTCCATTCCCCTCCTTCCTCCTCTCTTTTCTTATTTTATTTTTATTTTTTTTAATTTCTGAGAGAGAGAGAGAGAGAGAGAGAGAGAGAAGAGACTGTATGAATAGGGGAGGGTAAGAGAGAGAGGGAGATACAGAATCTGAAACAGGATCCAGGCTCCAAGATAGCTGTCAGCACAGAGCCTGATGTGGGGCTCAAACCCACGAACCATGAGATCATGACCTGAGCTGAGGTTGGACGCTCAACTGACTGAGCCACCCAGGCACCCCCTTCCTCCTCTCTCTTAAAAGACCATCCCATGCAGCCAAATGATGTGGGGTTGGCACCTATTAATCATCTGTGCTTAATGGCATGGGATATACAACTAGAAAAATTATGCTCATCTTAGGCTTCTGGAATAACCTGGAATTCCTTTCTGAAGTTCTCTTAATAGTGTCATTTGATGTAATGTTTTTTAAACTGCAACTTGTGACTGTTAAAAGGTCATAAAATTAGTGTAGTTAAACTACACATTTTCTTCAAAATTGAAATAGGAAATAACAGAAAATATTGGAATGCACATTGCTTCATGAAATTTTTTAGTTTCCTATTTGTATATAGGTAACGTTCAAAAACTAAAATGTATCTCTTCTTATGGATCAAAGCTGTTTAGCCATGCACATTGCATTTTTCTATAAAATAACTAAATCAGAAGACAAAGTATGTTTTTCCCAAGCAATTTTCTCTTCCCAAAATACCTTCCCTATCATTATAAAAATTCTTTGACATATTATTAGCATTCAAATATATGCCCCAGTAACCTGAATTGGGATAAAACACAACAATGATTGGCTTCCACACACTCAGAACACCCAAGTACCTAACTAGGAATTGTTTCATTATCCTCCAAAAATAGGACTTCATTTTTTTTGTTATGGTAAAATTTTACTATATTTCCATATTAATAATAAAGTGAACCACAGACACATACATGACAGTTTATCCCAAACGGTTTCTCTTGCTTGCACTAACTAGAGAATTATTTGTGAAATAAAAGCAACCCTCTATTTTTAAGATCATATGTCAGCATTTTCAGAGAGTCTTTCTTCCCAACCCTTTATTTTACTATAATTATAGGATATTCTCTGAAAAGGCTACAAAGTGCTCTATAATATTATGACTTTTCACAGTCAATTTACTTTTACGTTATTGTCTTTCTTTGAAATGCAAAGCCAGTTTTCCAACAATACATACAAGTCTTCTGTTATCAAAAGACTTCTGGCTTTTTCAACTATCATGGGGAAAAACTCAAAGACTCCTACACTTTCACAGAGAACTCCTCATATCAAATAGTCTAAAGTGACTACAGGCATCCCAGCTTGTGCAAGCTTTAGTATGTCCATCAGGTTCATTTAGCTCACATTTTAAGAACATCTGGCTGTTGCCTTTCTGGCATGAGGAGAAAGAGTAGTAGTAGTAACAGTAACAGCAGCAGATACAGTTTACTGACCATTTAGTCTGAAACAGGTCCTTTGCTAAGTGCTTTACATACATGTTTTATTTAATGTCACTCTCACAGTAAAGGGACATTACTATCTCCACTTTACAGATGATGAAACAGAGGCTCAATGTTTAGTAGCTTACCCAGGGCCACAACAACCATTAAGAAGCACAGCAGGGACGAACTTAGTTCTAACTCCAAAGCCTACATTCTTTACCAATGCAACACCAACTTCCCTATGTTACAGATAAACCAATTATGTGCCAATTCACCAACTTTTTTCCCATGTTTTCAAGCTACATATCAGCCTCTATTTTTCCCCCCAATTAAGAGTAATGAATCTTGAGGATTTGGGAACTTGTATTACAAGGATATTCATGAGGTCCTGCAACTTCTCTACTTCTGTGCAAGTCTACTCCTCCCTCTCTGCATTCCAACCACACTAGTATTATTTCAGATCCAAGGGCTACCAACCTACTCCCAGTCCTCCAACTACCAATCTGAGAAACTTCATGAATGCTGTCTTCCCTGCCTGCAATGCTCCCAACCCAACTCTGTCTCTATCATGGCTCCAATTCTGACATGGTTAATCCTGTTCATCCTTCTTGAACTTAAAGACCCTCCCAGAGCACACAATCTAAACTGATCCCACCTCTATGGTTGTAACATAGCAGCTGTTATTTTTCTTCATGTAACTAACCCAGTTTGTAAAGAGATATTCATATGTTTATTTGTTGTAACATCTCTTTCACTAATATCTGTGCTCTGTAAAAGCAGAGAGAATTTCTGTAGGGTTCACCAATGTATTCTTAGCAACTAGAATACTTGGTGTCTGGGATACAGTAAGTGCTCAATAAATTAGTGAATACATGAGTGCAAAGATGACATCATTCATTCATTCATTTATACACTAATTTGTTGAACATATTATATGTGCACACATAACTGTACAGTCCAGCAGTATCTACACAAAGTATCTACATAAAGCAGAAGCTCAATAAATACTTGGCTAAATTTTACAGAACAGAGTACAACTTCACCTCCTCCTCCAGTGTTCCAAGGAGGCTTTAGGATTCAGGCCAGTGAATTTTCAACATCCCCTTACTTTAAAGACAGAGATGTTCTCAGATAAGATGCAGAATTACTCACCTACAGACGGCTATACATATCTACTAGATAAATCTACTCTCCTTTTTTTTAATGTTTATTTATTATTTTTGAGAGAGAGAGAGAGAGAGAGAGAGCCAGTGGGGGAAGGGCAGAGAGAGAGGGAGCCACAGAATCTGAAGCAGGCTCCAGGCTCAGAACTGTCAGCACAAAGCCTGACACGGGGCTTGAACTCAGAAACCGTGAG